ACTATCATTTCATTTCAGGTTTATTGTTGCTTAATGAGTTGGTCATTTTCAACTATTCTTTTTTAATTATTCTTTTTTACTTGTTTCAGGGATTTCAAATCATTTTATATAGTAGACAATGGAAGTCCGAACTAGTGAAATTCATATTCTTGATGATATTGTTAATTTACCTAATAAAGAATGTTACACGTTACTTTATTAGCACACACACAACTACTGTATTTTTGTCCACCCTGTACCAATTGGAATCAACATGTGATACATTTTTGGAATCAGCTCAGCTAGAGTAATCCGAAAATTGAGACAAAATGGGGGTGTTCCATTTAAAAAAATGACGGTGACGTCATTACTCGAACGTAATTCACCATGTATATTAGATTATTATTTTAAAATACGGTAAATTAACATCAAAAATCGACGTGTTTCAGGATTATTTCTCAAAATGACCTGTTTAGCTAAAATTGAATTTGTTCCATACTTTACGGACACAGTGTATATTCTAACGGGAAGAACATTCGTAAATAATATCAATCTTGTATTATTTGAAACATCTATTTATTTATATATATTGCTTTTGTAATTGCAATTGCACATACACCATACTGCACTTATTCAGACATTTGACAGTTTCAATTTATGAATATAAAATCAATTAGCTGATCGACCGTGGATCCATAGAGTTCAAGAATACGTTCAATACGTTCCGATATACCGACGGCCCATCCAGGGTTACATTGTTTCGTGAAAAGGGGACTTACCCAAAGAGGGAAGTTGATAAATATTGTTTTTGATACCTTCAGTGTCAAATATTTCATTTTACTCATCAACCTTCTACCGGCTGACTAATTTTGATTTTAGAGTTTTGTTTTCGTGTTAGTTTTATTATGCCTCAATAATTTGATTTTCCATCTCATTATTGCGGGCGTAACAGATTTCCTAATGGGTGTTTAGGAAATTCTAGAACAGTGAGGTGGCTGGCAAGATCACCTGACCTTACAGGTTTGGATACTATCCTGTGGGTCACTTTCAAGAACAGAATCTATGAAGAGCAATAATATGACACAGTGGGTGAACTTAGAGAAAATATCATCACATCACGCAATTCAGGTCTATCAGAAAAAAAGGTATTGTTAGGGCTGTTCTCAATTTGATACGATGATTCAAGAAGAAGGCCATCATTCCGAACACTTGTAATACTTTTTGTGCATTTTTAACAAGCTCATGATTCAAGGGGATAATCTTAGCGACTGGAGAAATTTACGTCAAAATAGATTAACAGGGTCTCTCACTATGGGAAGCTTCTTCAGGGCAGTAAAAACGAGCGAAAAACAATGACATTTGTCAAACCCACAAAAAATTCTATACATGTATAACTTTTTTGTACGCAATCAGAAACGATCCTGGTGTTTTTGAAAGNGTTTGATTATTCAGTGTAGTCAATTATTTGTGAACCTACGGGGAAAAACGTAACAGTTTGTTTGTTTGTAAATTTTGTTGTAATTCATAAACGTGATGTTATTTGTTTTTTATCAAAAATATACATTATTATTATCATTATTATTATTATGAATGACTCAGCAGAATTTCAGATTTGCACACATTTCGAAAGATTGAATTAGATGCAATCGAAATATTATCCCTGATTATGATCTATGTTTTCCTCAACTAGATATTTCTTTCTTCAGATGACGTTCACCTTCCTGAAATGTGATGCCGCAGGAAATCCGGACAGTTGTGAATATTTGTTGAGAGATTATAAAAAAAACGAGATCTGCAAGTACTTCAAAATGGATAAAAACCAGGCTTGGAGTGTATTTTTCCAATACTTGGATAGACCTCTCAGATGCCCCTTGTCGGTGAGTTGAAAAATATACAAAAGAGCTCATTGCATAACTGGGATTATCACACAAAAACATTTGTTGATAACTTCATTTCTTCATTGCATACTCCTATTAGAAACTTTATTGACACGCAATGCATATAGCTGAACAAACATCTGTTAAAAAAAATGTTTTTCCATTAACCGGCTGTCGCCTATTTACGAACGACAACTCTCAAAAGTCGAAACTCGTGTGAGCTAAGGACTAACAAGGTCTTGCCTTTCAACGTGTGATTCCTAATACGGTTGGACGATAGCAAGTGAATATCGATCGTCCGGCCTTGCGGTTCGGACCACCGGTTTACACAAAGGTTGATTGAGTGAATGGAGCAAACCACTCACGTCAACCTACCAGGGTACCGTCCCATATGTTCAATATCTTTCTTTATCCCCTTTCACTTGTTAGCGAAATAAAAAATCCAACTGGTATCTCTCAGGAACTACTTTTACAAATTAGAATGGAGCTGCTCAGCGAAAACATTTTTATCTGCTGCGCCTCTGTTCAGGTCCAGATGCTCATTTGGAAACCGCCTGATATTTTGCATTTTAAACATACTCTTCAACTTTGAATAAGCTGGCTTTATTCGGCAATTATTCACCACTCGAAGACGATGAAAAGTTAGAAGAATACTTTGCATTTTATTTACGTGGGAATCTCTCTCACTTTGCGACTCCGACGGAATGAGTTATCGTAGAGATTATGCATATATTAAACCAGTTTGTGCGAATAAGAGAAATGTAACCGTCGAGTCGACAATTTTTTTATATTGTAAGTATTTTTCATGAGAGAAAGTTTTACTCCCTATTTGTCCTTGAAGCAATGGCTTATGGAAAACTCTCAAAATAAGAAAAGAAAAGATGATAGTCGTGTCGAATAGTAGAAAGATATCTCCAACTTATTACAAGAGTTCATTCGCAAATTCAATAATGAATAATAAGGTAGAAATTTTATTCATCGAGAAAGTGATACAAATCATGAAATTATGAAACAAAAACAAAAATTAATTGGCGCTCCGGGACGACTTCATTGATTCAAGTGGCGCATTTGTTCTTTCAGCTGCAGGAAAACCCGGAAACACCTGCAGCACCACATCATCTGAAGATCTTGATCTGCCAATGTCCTCTCTGCCATAAAACAAAATGTAGGGTGTCTCCAGAAACTCCATTAAATTCAAGACATCGCCAGAACACTCAGTGACACGACTGTCGTTAAACTTAAACCAGTCCGTTTCGTCTTTGACCAATGCGTTATGACCAGATTCAACGCCAGAACCACGGTGAGCAATGACCACATGAAGATTATAATAGTGCTCTGCTAGATTGAGGTGTTCATCTATTTCGAACTTTCGTAAGTTTGGTCCGTCCGTCAGAGGTTGAGTCATGTTTGAAGATCATCAGTGTTATTATTAGATTGACTGGTGCCTCAGCTTACTTATTTTCTTATAATAGTCAGTTAGTTTGGCGCATGTTTGGCGATACAGTTGATCATCGTGAATGATGAATAATAGGCAATGATTGATAAATGATAAATTATAAATAATTAATACTAAATAATAAATAAAAAATAATAAATGATGAATAATGATGAATAATAATA